CTACCATTTTGTGAGTTCCCTGCCAGCTGGATCCTTGACCATCTGTTATTACCTCTCTTCCCTCATTTCACAAAGATGGAAGATTTCATGTTAGTAAAACTTAAAACCTGTTTAGGTATAAGCGAGGAAGGTTGCAAGTTGTATATGAGAAAGAATAGAAACTGAAAGTTTATTTCTAAAACATTCATCTCCTTGCCCCACAAAGGGTTATCATTGAAATGTTTAAAAGATGGCCCATAACAGGTTAATGGTACCAGTAAATCCTGTCCTTTGTGGTATAAGCCATTTGGAAGTATAATGAATATTATTAGTGCACACCAGTATATAGATTTTGGTATTTGCTGCTGTTAAAATTGCTTCATTTTCATCAAACTTAAAATTGTTTCGTACATCAAAGAATATAATGAACAGAGTGAAAGGCAGCCTACAGAATGGGAGAAAATGTTTGTGAAACATGTAAGTGATAAGGGATTAGTGTCCAGACTGTATAGAGAATGTCTACCACTCAGTAACAAAAAAATCAAATAACCCAGTTTAAAAAAAGCAAAAAACTTGAATAGACATTTCTCTAAAGAAGATATACAAATGGTCAACAAGCATATAAAAAGATGTTCAACATCACTAATCATCAAAGAAATGCAAGTGAAAGTCATAATGGATATCACCTCATACACATTGGGACAGGATATTAAAAAACAGAAAGGAAAAAACAGATGTTGGTGATAATGTGAAGATATTAGAACCCTTATGCACTGTTGGTAGGATTGTAAAATGGTGTAGCCACTATGGAAAATAGTATGGAGTTTCCTCAAAAAATAAAAAATGATCCAGCAATCCCACTTCTGAGCATACATCCAAAGGAATCGAAAGCAGAATCTCAGGGATATTTGCACACTTATGTTCATAACAGCTCTCATGGCCAAAACGTGGAAGCAACCCAAATGTCCACTGGCAAATGAACAGAGTAGGTGTGAGTATATACCCACACACTGGAATATGAATTATTCAACCTCAAAGGAAGAATATTCTGTCACATGATACAACATGGATAAAACTTGAGGACATTAAGTGAAATAATCCAATCACAAAAAGTCAAATACTGTATGATTCCACTTAGATGAAGTATCTGAAGTAGTCAAATTCATAGGAACAGAAAGCAGAATGGTATTTCCTAAGGGCTAAGGGGAGGGGGCAGAGGAGAGTTGTTTAATGGTGTGATGATTAATTTTACGTGTCAACTTTGCCGGGCCCTGGGTACCCAGAAATTTGGTCAAACATTATTTTGGGTGCATCTGTGAGGGCGCTTGGGGTGAGATTAACATTTAAGTAGGTAGATTGAGTAAAGCAGATTATCCTCCCTAATATGGATGGGCCTCATCCAGTCAGTTGAAGGCCTGAATAGAACAAAAAGGTGGTCCCTTCTTGAATAAGAAGGAACTCCTCCTGCCTGACTGCTTTGAGCTGGGATATCAACCTTTTTAACCAACTGAAACTCAAAAAGTATTCTGAAGGTCGTATGTGGGGATAAATACTACAGCAGAGCACAGTGGGTTGTTCTTTCCAATCCCCAGTCTTACCTTGGATTAAATTAATTTCTCTGCTGTCTCCATCACTAAATATTCCCACACTCTGTGCCTTCTGCCCATCCAGAGCTTTTTCTATGAGATAAAATAGGCTCTCCAAGGTTAGGCCGCTGTGTTCGTACACCACAGAAATGATCCCTGCTTTAACACTGTTCACCACCATCTAGAAAATGAAACCAGAGCTGCAGGAACCAAAGCCCATTATTTTAGAATATTTATTAATAAAATAAACACAATGAATATGTAACCCGCTATGATTTTTAATGACTGTTTTTCTTCAGAAATGGTAGAAGGAAGATAAGCTTTCTCCTTCACTAGTTTCTTTTTAAATTTTTATTTCTTTTCTAATTATAAGAGGAGAAATTTAAGTACATTTGTAAGTCTACCACTCAGAGAGAAATTCTAACAAACTATTTTCTGCCAGCTTTTTTATCTTTGTACACACCCCTGCACAGAGATACACATACAACTTTTAAAAAATAATAAAGTCAAGATTGTACAATTTTGCAATAGACTTCTTAAATAGATTTTATTTTCCTCTTAATTATAAATTTTTGAATTATCAATATTGATAAATATTTCACATTTAAATAAATATTAAAACCACTGTTCTTTGAATTCAACAACCAAGTAAAATTTTCACTGTGATGAAGTTAATTCTTTAGCAACAGACAGGTTGGAAAGTCATTGATGTCACTGATTTTTCCCAAAACCTCATGCTACTTTCTAAAGGTCACAGTTCAAACATATAGAGTACTACCTTATGGTTACACTCTGCTTTTTGCCTAAACCCCCATTACATTCAAGTAATTATGGCATAGTCTTATGTAAAGAAGACAAATAGGAGAATGGATTTATTTTATACCAGCTTATTCACCCATATTCTATCAACAGTTATCCTCTGTGCTTAGCACGATGCATTTTTTAACCTTATGGAAACCATCACATGGAGATCAAAACTCTGATCTTGCTTTCATGTGGATCCATTAATTAAGCTAGCCAGTTGTAAATGATCAAAGTCAATTCCTAGATGCCCAAAAACAGAAGTGATTTCGTATCTTGAAAGCAACCCTTTTGTTACAGATAAGAATTTTTGCAAGAACTTTCTAAGTAAGCCAATGAATGTAGCCTACTAATGCCACTCCTTATATATGCCCCTGTGTGTGTATTAATACATAAATGTGTACACAGATATACATACTTAAATATATAAATACATGCTTCCTGTATCTTCTTTGTGCTTCCTTTCTCTTATTCATATTAAAATAAAAATATATAACTTCACTATAGAAAGAGCATATTTTCATTTAATAGCACCCTTATTAAATAGATCACAAAATAAGATTTCTGACATTTTTCTTTTGAGAAATGGTGGTTACATGATATTAAATTCCTTGGGCAGCCCAAAGAAACTTTAAAATAATTTGTATCACTTTGATTTTTTTATGGATTAAGTGCAACCAATTCAATTCAATAAGAATTTATTGGACAGGTACTAAATGCAAGGCAGTTTAGGCCTTTAATAATGTTTAAAAAATAATTTTGACTCATGGTGATTTTTATTGCTTCTGATTTTTAAAACTGTTTTGGGTATATACATTTCCACTGAGATCAGACCACTTTCCTTGTAGGAGATTAATCATTCTCATACCATAGTGGCCAAAAGATTGCCATCTGTCCCCTCTAGGGGAGGTGAAAAAAAACCCATTCAGGAAGGGGCTGGCCTCATAACACACTGGGTACCTCGTATGCAGGAATCCGAGAGGATATTAATATGAAGTGCGGCTGGAGAGCATTTGAAGAGCTGATATCACTTTCATAAAGTCCCCGCCAATTTTTCTTTGGTAGGAAAGGGTAGGAATGGCATCCAGAAACATTGCTTCTGCAGGGGAAAGGGGGGATAAGTGAAGTTTTTATTATCCCTTAACTTGACTTTGATAAGTGAGAACCAGTTTGTTATCTGGAAATCAGTTACCCTGTACAAGGTAGGCGACCTCAGGACCTTAGTCTCTCCCTGTGGTTTTCAGGGACAGCAGCAAACAGGGCTCCTGGTTGAATGGGACCAATGCTGCCCTCTGGGCCTCTCCCTCTGCGTTCATGGGATGCCAAAGAGGGCTCTTGGAACTTACTTTCGTAGGGCACTTAAAGCCAATGTAGTGACAGACTTCAGGGCTCAAAACGGCATTTGTAAAAGGAGCAGCCAAGAGATTTTAAATTTCCTTCATCGTCCGGGCCTCCTGGTTTTCCAAGTAATGTCCAGTCTCTCCCCAGCCACCCCCAATCCCAATACCATTCGGATATGCTTACCCCATAAAAAAATTTCTGAAAAAATGTTATTTTTGCTCAAAAACTTTATACAGAAAATGTGCTACATCCATAAAATAGGCTCTTTGTGGGATTAAGAATATCTGAAATGTAAATTTTGAATGTTACATATTTCCATCTTCGGGAAGCATGTTAAAGGCCACTGTTCTTGAAGATTTAGGAACTGTTTCTATTGCTATTTCATAGGATAAGAGATGTATAATTATACAAGATCCCTGCATGTTGACTAAATTACTCTAGAATGATTTCTTGGTATCATGGGACAGTCCTGAGCCTTCAGCAGATGGAGGTTTGCTTACCGCTTGGGCAAAGCGTCTAAAGATGCCAAAATCAGCTGTTTCTCCAAAGTTTCATGGAATCCCACTCGCTCCCTCATGGTCTGGGAGAGACATGGTTGGCATTTGGATTTTAACAATCTAGAGCAGCGTGTTCCACTCACCCAAGGGGGTCGAACGTTGAACAACAACTCTGAAAAACAGACAGCAGCAGGCTCAGCTGTTGACTCCATGCTGCTCCCAGCCAAGTCTGCACAGATAAAGGCATCAGATATAAAGCTGAACCAGGGCAGTGTTCCAGATGGCAGTAATTACAGCCAGTGTTACAGGCTGTGTTTGGATCTCTTATCCTCTCAGCTCTGTGGCTGCAAGTTACCAGTCATTTCAGGTCAAGATACAAAACTCAGAGAACAAGCAACTCTTTTCTTGTGGAAACCAGTTCATCAGTTTATAGGCTTCACAGCTATTTTTGCCCTTCTTCTTGGCTTCCAGTAATTTCCCATTTGTTACAATCTTGCAGCGGGTGAGTCAGTAACAAAACAAAGATGGGAGAACTCAAATCAGGTTTGCTGATTACCTTTACACACCATGCGAATCAGAAGGCTTAGCTGAGAGCATGTCTCATCCCTACTCCCTTTCCACTGTTTTTTTGATGTCATTCTTCCTGCTTCCATTTCCATTTTCATTTTTCTTCTTTTCCACTGATCCTGTTCCTTCTTGTTCTGAACCTATTTATTTGTTTTTGCCTGTGTTCATAGCCCTCTCTCCCCATCTTTGGTCTTACGAGGCATGGATATTTGACCTTATACATTTCATCAGAAATCTTTTTGTTTTTCTTGATTAACTTGAAATATATAGTGAAGAAAAAAAGAGCTTGTCCTTAACATACTTTAGAGAATGCCACCTACAGGCTATTTCAGAAAGACAGCACTGTCCTCCTCTATGTAAATCCCTTGGTTTCAACAATACTTGGCTAAGACACAAAGTTTTAAAATGCCACTCACTCTTACGTAGTGCAATTTTCTCCCAGATTATCTTCCTAAGGCACTTTTCTCTTTGCCTTTCCTGTAGCTCCTCATCTTCTGTTTTGGGTTCATTCAGAGTCCCATACATTGCAGCGGCTTCCCTAGGAGTTAGCCAGTCTAAGTTGGACACACAAGCAATGTAATGGTGCTTCCAAGCACCATACTCATTCTCTGTTGGAGTATAGGGCAGAAACCAGCCAAACTTAATGCATTTGGGCATCCATAAGCAATCCTTCCAAAAAAGAAATGAGAAAGATGAGTTGCAAGGACAATTTCCCGGTAGTAATCTTTTCAGGGACACGTAATTTTTTCTTACTACATTGAGATGCCTAGTACAGTTGACTTGCCATCTGAACTTGACTCTGAGAAGTAAGAGATACACCTTACTCCATAGGAAAAATATTCCTTGATGAACATGTATTTACATATTCATGCATTGTATATGAATATATGTATTAGTCATCTTTGTACACTTATCCAGTGTTCCCATAGCATTTGGTTACTTTAACCCCAGATTCTGAGAATTCTGCTTCTAGCAATGGTGTGGTAGCTTGTTTCAGACCAACCTTCCTACTGGGAACAACTTTGACCCACACGATGTTGCCAATATGCAACCAGTTTTGATATATGAAAACAGCAAATTTCATGTGGTTTAAATTAATCAAATAACTAGACAAAATACTATAAAGCAATCATTTGAGCTACTGATGCAATAAGGACTTGTGCAACCATGACCCCAAAGAGAAGGGAAACCCAGAGAGGTAATATTTTGATTTGGCCTCACTTTTCACTTCAAGGAATTTGACGGTTCCAAAGTAAAGCCTAAGCTGAGAAGCAGGGTAGAAAGTTGTGACTGAAAGACTTAGATGTTGTTAAGAATTTAAGGCATTTTCAAATTCAGGGCTCGCTAAGGGGAAGCACCCTGGTGATGACCCCAGGCTTTCAGCCGAGATATTTTTCAGTAGGATGATAAGGAATTAGACTGAAACTAGCTTTAAATAGCCCATCCTCTGGTTAGATTTAAGTGATCTATTTCTAGCCTACCCAAATGCCAGAAGCGAAGTCAAATTCTCTCTGGAGGAAGATAACATCACCCAGAGAGACTCAAATTCTCACATCGGTTTTGATACTCAGGATCTGGTTCTCAATCAAAAATGCCAGGTACACAAAAAGATAAAAGTTGTTTTTTCTTTAGTTTTTTTTTTTTTTTTTTTTTTTTTAGTAAATAGAGACCCTCAGGAGAGCCAAAAGTTGTAATTTTCAGACATGAACTTTAAAAAAAAAATTTTAATTAATAGGCCTAAGAAATTAAATGGCTGGAAAGTTTTGGCAAAGCAATCAAGTCAACAGTCTAGGACTGAAAAATAGCTGAAATTTAGAACTCAATGGACCAGTTTAAGAGCAAATTAGAATCCAGCTAAAGAGATAATTTGAAAACTAGGCAGAAGAAAAATCTAGACTGAAACACTAAAGGCCAAAAAGACGGGAAAGACACATAAGAGAATATGAAACATATGAGACATGGTGAATCAATCTAGTGTATTGAATCCCAGAAAAAAGAGAGAGAAAATGGGGCAGAAGCAATATATGAAGAGGTAGCATCTGAGAACTTTGCAAAACCGGTAAGACATTTATCTCCAATTGAAAAATCATTTCAAAATACAAAACAGACAAACACCTCTAGGTGAATTGTAATAAAATTGCAGGAAAAAAAAGAGAGAGAAAAAAATCCTAAAAGCAGCTAGAGAAAACAAGTATTACCTTTAAAGGAACAATAATAAAACTCCCTACTTCTCAAAAAAAAAAAGTTATGAAAGCCAGAGAACAATGGAAAATTTTCAGAGTTCTATGAAAAATTAACTACCAACCCAGAGCTCAAATTCTCAGTGAAAATAGCCTTCAAATTTGAAGGTGAAATAAAGACATTTTCAGACAAAAACTAAGAGAATGTGTCAGCAGCAAGCTGCAGTCTAGGAAATAGTAAAGAGAATTCAGAAGAAAAATGATCCCAAAAGGAATCTCAGAGATGCAAGAAAGTGTGAAGAAAACATAAAAAGAGTTACTCCTAAGTAAATATTGACTCTATCAAACAATAAAAGACTTGTGAGGTTTATGTGTGTGTATATATATATAAGTGTGTGTTTGTGTATTTTATATTTGTGTGTGTGTAAAATTAAAATATTTGATAACCAAAGCATAAAAACTGAGCAGGGAAGCAAATGGAGTTAAGGAGTTCTATGCTCCCTGCATTATCTTGGAGGAGGTAAGATAACCCTAGGATGAGTGCTGTAATGAGTGCTGTGTTAGCCGAAAGAGAACTGCTAGAGGCTTTACAGTTCATCTCAAAAAAGTTTAAGTTAACCCTGAAAGAAGACAAGGAGAGCAACAAAATATAAAATAGTAAATAAAATACTGGGGAGGGGAGGATATAGTTCATTGGTATGCTCAGCATGCACAAGGTCCTGGGTTCAATCCCCAGTACCTCCATTTAAAAAACAAATAGTAGAAAGGTGGACTTGAGCCCAAACATACCAGTATTTACATAAATGTGAACAGACTGAATTACCCCAGCTAAAAGTCAAAGATTGTCGAGTGTTAAAAGAAAACCACTACCACCATAATCTGTTTACAAGATATGTTCCTTAAATATAAGGACACAGGAAGTTTGAAAGTAAGGCAGACAGACCACGGGAACACTAAGCCTGGATTCGTACATGCTAGAAATCCAGGGCTCACAGTTGGCTCTTGCACGTGGCCCCTCAGGTATTCTTTGAGATCAGAATCTCAGCACAAACTCATCCTGGAAAATTTGTACGAGTTAAAGGAGTAAATTATTGACTTGTATTTAATGTCTACCAGGAGACAGATAGTCCAGAGGCAGAATTAATGGCAGAGGATGTAGAAGATAGAGATTTATACTCCTCAACAGATGTTAACCAAAGAGGGATCAGTTAGCGTTGTGGTTGTATAGCAATTATTGAGGTGAATTATCATGAATAAAATAACATTATTTAAAAACCAAAGCTTAAATGATTTTTCACAAAAAGTTGGACTTCTTTATTGCAGACAAATTATTTTCTAAATAACTGAGTATTTAAAGATTATTAAAATTGCATGAATTATTAGAATAGTGTATATACCCTGACTTACAAAATAAACTACTATTTTTAGTTCATCCCCATTTTTTTTTCTCTTAAGGGTAAGTTAATTATGAGTCAGATACCCTCAGTTATTATCTTCAGGGAGGAGAACTACCCCAATTGCCTCATTACAGATGACAGTTGCATTTGGACCCTGTTACTGGGAAGTGACAAATAGTAAACCTGTTCAGTTAAAAACTTCCAGGGCCAGCTGACTTGTGCAGCTGCACATAAGTCTTTCGGATTCAGAAAGGAAAAGATATAGAGAGAAATGAAGCGTGGTAACACTGTAGAGAAATCCACTCTGGCCACTTGCATCCTTTCTGAAAACCACTCTTGGACAACCCTAGAAAGCAAAATACAAAACTTTAGTTCAGAATACGAATATCTAAAATTGATTAAAAATTCAGTATAAATATTGGTCATTGTTCTTTCTCTAATGTTCTACCTATTTAAAAAGTTAAATCCTAAATAACTGAAGGATAGATTTTTAAGAATACTGTACCCACTTTCAATGATCCATTCTAAAGAGGAAGATGAATAACAAAATATATCTAAAATCCACAAGAAAAAAAATCTGAAATAAACAGTTAAGACATGTCTGGTTTTTTTTTCTTTTCTTTTACCCCAAAATCAGTAAGTCCTGTCAGCTTTACAAATATACATCCCCCAGATATGTTCCCCAATCCAGCCACTTCTCTCCGCCTGCACTGCTTCCACGCCTCTCCCCTAACCCCAGGTGATTGCAGCCGCCTCCTGATTGCCCCTGTCCTTCCACTCCAGCCCTCCTAGAGCCCATTCTCCACACAGCAGCCAAAGGGATTTTTAAAAATGTAAATCAGATAAAGTTACTCATGCAAGTAAAACCCTACAATGACTTCCCAATGCACTTAGAATAAAAATCTATAGCTCCATCATACTTAGTGGTGAAATAGCAGATGCCTTCCCCCTAACAAAGCAAGATTGTCCACTCTCACTACTTGCATTTACCGTGGAACAGAGGTCCTAGCCTGTGCAGCAAGGCAGGAAAAAATAGTAAAAGGTATACACATTGTAAAGGGAGCAGTGAAACGGTCTCAATTCATGTACCATGTATGTAGAATCTATACAACTATTAAAATTGTTGAACTTGTTAGTATAAAATTGTTACAATTTTATTTTTTAGATGCTTATAGGATCTAGAGCAACATCCCCTTTTCATTCCTGATAGTCATAATTTGTGTTTTCTCTCTTTTTCCCTTGGCTACTCTTGCTAGGAGTTTATAGATTTTATTACTTCTTTGTAACAAACCAGCTCTTGTTTTCATAGGTTTTCTCTATTGTTTGTCTGTTTCCTACTTTATTGATTTCCACTCTTCATCATTTCTTTCCTTCTACTTACTTCGGTGTAAATTGCTATTTCTTCCCCTAGTTTCTTAAGATAGAAATTTTGGTCATTAATTTTAAACCCCTTTTTTCTCTAACATTAACATTTATATGATATTTTCCCTCTAAGCTGTGCTTTTGCTGAATCCCACATGCTTAGCCCTGTTGTAGTTTCCTTATCATTTAACTGTAAATATTTTCCGACTTCCCTTGTGATTTCTTCTTTGACCATAGGTTACTTATAAGTGATGTTAATGTCTAAATATTTGAGGATTTTCTAGATATTTTATTTTTATTAATCTCAAAATGTATTGCATTGTGTTAAAGAATAATACTTAATAAGATTTCAACAATTCTGAAATGCACTGAGTCTTATTTTGTGGACCAGGAAGTGATGCATCTTGATGAATGTGAGTTCGCTCATAAAAGAACACATTTTTGGAGATTGTTGTGTCTAGTTTTCTACAAATTTTAGTTCAAGGTGGTTGAGAATATTGCTCAGTTCTTCTATATTCTTACTGTTTTTCGTTTGGTTCTATTTTGTCAGTTTTTATTTCATGTAATTTGAAACTCTGTTATTTGGTACATAAACATTTGTAATTGTTATGACTTCTTCATAAATTGATATTTTTCTCATTATAAAAACATCCCTCTCAATCTCTCTGGTGATATTCCTTGTCCTGAAGTCCATTCTGTCTGATATTAATATTACCATCCTACTTTTTTATATTTTTATTGAAGTATACTCAGTTTATAATGTGTCAATTTCTGGTGTACAGCACAATGCTAAAGTCACATAGGAACATACATATATTCGTTTTCATATTCTTTTTCACCATAAGTTACTACAAGATATTGAATGTAGCTCCCTGTGCTATACAGTTTAAACTTATTTATCTATTTTATATATATTAGTTAGTATCTGCAAATCTCAAACACCTAATGTATTCCTTCCCACCCCCTTACCCCACTGTTAACCAAAAGTTTGTTTTATATGTCTGTGAGTCTGTTTCTGCTTTGTAAATAAGTTCATTTATCTTTTTTTGTTCCCCTTAGATTCCATATGTAAGTGATGTGGTGTTTTCTTTCTCTTTCTGGTTTACTTCACTTAGAATGACATTCTCCAACTCCATCCATGTTGCTGCAAATGGCATATTTTATTATTTTTATGGCTGAATAGTATTCCATTGTATAAATATACCACAGCTTCTTTATCCAATCATCTGTTGGTGGACATTTAGGTTGTTTCCATGTCTTGGCTATTGTAAACAGTGCTGCTGTGAACACTGGGGTACACCATCCTACTTTTATATGCTTACTATTTGCACAGTGTATCTTTCCCTATCCTTATACTTCACCAATCAGTGCCTTTATGTTTAAAGTGTATCCCTCATAGTCATTATACAGTGCGTTTTTTTAAGCTTATTTGACAATCATTGCCTTTATTTGAGGGTGTAGTCTGCTTGTATTTAATATAATTATTGTTATGTTGAAACCAAGTCTTAATTTTGTTATTTGTTGTTTGGTTGTCCCATCTGTTTTATGGACATTTATTCTTCTTTTGCCTTGGTTTGAGTTAATAAATTCTTTTATATTCCATTTTAATTCTTTTATTGGCTTTTTAGGATATCTTGCACTACTCTTTTAAGTTGTTGCTAGGAACTATGGTATGCATCTGTTTTTTTCATAGCCTACTTAGAGTTAATATTCATGTAAAATTAAAGGCCAGTGTGACAGTATAATTATCACCATCCTTTATGCTTTTGTTATTATATCTATTGCATCTACTTAAGTTATAAACTCCAAAATACATTTTTTTGCATTAAATAGTCATATATCTTAAAATAACTTCAAAATTTTATATTTTCTCACACATTTATCATTTTCTGTACTCTTCATTCCTGCTTATAAATCCAAGTTTCTTTCTGGTATCAATTTCCTTAGCCTAAAGGACTTCCTTCAGCATTTCTTTACTGCAGGTCTTCTGACAACAAATTTTGTCAGTTTCCTTTTATTTGAAAATGTCTTCATTTCACATTCATATTTGTTATACTATTATGACTCCACTGATTAACTTAAATAATTATCATCTCACAGACAATCTGGTTTCTGTTATATCCCCTTTTTCTTCTTACTCCCTCACTCTCATTGTTTTAAAGCAAATCCAAGGCACCGTATAATTTCATCCATAAATACTTCAGTGTCTCACTAAATAATAAGAAAAATTTTTTAAATATATATACTATATATAATACCATCATCATACCTTAAGAAATTCAATAATAATTTTTTAGTATGACATCTATCAAGAAAACTTCTTACAAGCATTCCACCTAAGCACAGATAGATCTTGAATAAATATAAAATCCAAGGCTCTATCAAAGTGGTCATCTTGGGGGCTATATAAACCTTAGACCAAAGAGATATTTGCACTGCTGGCCATGCAGCTAACAACTACCAAAAAAAAAAAAAGGATATTTAATACCTGATTGCCCTCTTTAGATATTAGCAATAAACACCTGCTATAGTCCCAAGCCACCAGATAGCGATCGAGGCTCTTCCCTGGAACTCCTGATTTCCTCCAAACTCAGTAGAATTACAGATAATTGTGACTAGTTTCACAGCTGATTGGAAACTTTGGTAATAAGAACCTTCCAGAATTCATTTACCTAAGGCCACTGAGACTCCAAGACTTCTCCCTCACTGCTAAGTGGCTACTGCTGCCCTGTTACTGGGTCCTAATGAACACAGATTAACTCAGTGAAAGAAAAGTTGTGACTCTGAACAGATTTCATCCTGCAATGGGTCTTCTCGGTCCTAAATTCCCATAGAGTGGGTCAAGCCTCAGAAAGTCCCAGTGTGAAATGAAATGGCACCTCCAGTTAGGAACAAAAAAGACCTTAGTTACCCTCACCCCCCGGTTGTTGAATATCCACTGGACCCAGAGGCAGTCTGGACCACACATTTACCAAACTGCTGGCTTAACTGGAGATTCACTTATAAGTCTTGGGAGAAGGAAAAGTTCTGCCTTGCAACAGAACACCAATTAATACACGCAGAGGAATTAAGTAATGAGAAAATTACCACTTGGCAGCTATCATAGAAATAAGTGTTTCAGATAAGAATCATCAATGGATGCTAAAACTAGTAGGTGAAAGTTTGCTGAGGAAAAGGATATTTGCATAGATTCAAATACTTTTTAATTAATTTAAAACTAATCACTCAAATCCTTTTTAGTTATTTATAAATTAGTAAATATAAAATACTTAATAATCTAGCATCTTAGCCAAGTGATAAAAGTCACAAGCGGTGGGACAAATTGACATGATCTGCCTCCAAAATGACCCACTGAGAAGAACACAGCATCCAGTCTGTGTTTTTCCTGCCAAGAGTGTACAACCTCAACGTAATCATGAGGAAATACCAGCCAACCACAAACTGAAGGTCATTCAACAAGGTAGCAGATCTGTCCTCTTCAAGTGTCATGTAAGAAAAGACAAGGAAAAACTGAGGAATTGCTCCATTGAAGGTGGAGATAGAGATGTGAAAGCTACATACAGTGGGTGACCCTGGATTGGATTTGGACTGAGAAGGAAAGGATGATTTTAAAGGACATTGTTGGAAGAATCAGCTGCATTGAATGGAGTCTGTGCATTGGGTGGTAGTGCTGAATCAATGTGGATTTTCTGATATTGGAGGATGTACTGTGATTTTTTTCAGCCAAGTCTGCTTGTTTTTGAGGAAACACATACTGAAATGCTTATGGTTAGTGGGGCATTATGTTTACAACTCACTCTCAAATATTCAGAATAATAAAGCAAAAATGGCTAAATATTAACAATTGAGGAATCCAAGTGAAAAACTTAAAGGAATTGTTTGTACTATTTTTGCAACTTTTCTGTAAGTTAAAAATTATTGTAAAGAAGTGTGTGTTTTTTGTTTTTTTTAAAGAAGAAGCTACTTGCTTCAGTTCCAAGTTTT